TAGGTAAACTATATTACATATTCATAACGAGTAAACTTGTATAGAATTCACTAAATGAATGAATAATAATTAAAAATATAGTAGAACAAATGAGTTGCTAGATAAATGAAAAGCTACTATCGTGGACCACCTTGTAATGAAAATACCGTGAGTTGAATTTAATACAATGAAGAATACCAAAACACTATTTGTGAAAAAGGCCGCTTTCAAGTTTCAAGCGACTCACATAGAATTTTATTCATTTTCTTCACAGAGGGCAGTCTGAATTGTTTGATTATCAAATCATATGAATCTTAATAAACTTACATAATCTCCGAGCAATGATAAACTCCAAATAACCCTAGATATACTTCTAGGTCCTTGAGAAGTTTTGAAGTGTACTTACAGAACCCCAATGAAAAAAAAAACGTATGCGTCTCGGGACGCCCGACAGAAGTAATAACTCAAACTAATTTAAGGTGAACTATTCAATATTGAAATTGTTCAACTTGAGAGAACCTTAGGTATATCAATATGATAATTTAGGAAAAGTTCATTTTTAAGACACGCTTCACATAATAAAAAAAATATCTTGCTGGTTAGATTTTTATAATAGATACTCTCAACACTACACGCTGAGCGTTCATCCGACGAGAGCGGAGGGGCCTGTCTTCCGCTGACGTATGTCTGAGAAAAAGACAGACTGACGCCGTAAGCGTTATGTAACGAAGCGGTTTTCCTTCCATGAGGAGGTATCACTCCAAGAATAACTCAATAAGAATATAATGTTCACTTATTGAGTGGGCAAAGAACATGTCTTCACGACGGGGCATTTGAATAACTCTTTGCTAGTTTTTAAAGTGACATTCTGCACCCTACCATCCTTTTCTGCAAGAGTCAATGCAAGGGAGAGGCGTTATCAATAATAACTACTGAATCAACCGTTTTCTTAGTCCATTTCGAACGCTCTTGTAGACTCGTCAAATATTCTACCCACCAACGTGTCCTAAATTTATGTCGCAAAATAGCCTCTAATAAGTGAGCACCAGTATGAACATTTATCGCATGATGGAAATCCATTAATTTCGCAGTCAGAACATCTTTGGCTGGAAGAACGAAGGGATCTTTTTGACAAAAATTCAATTTCGAATTAGCTCATCTACTCTCACCCATCATATGAAAAAGGATGTGATTTGATTAGCCTAGATGAACAAAACCTATTTGAATTTAGCATCTGTACAAGTACATAACCACCCCTGCATTCCTTGATTTCTATTCGTCACTGTAACATGACTTCAAATTAAATTTTATGACTCTTCAGCCAATCATACAACTCGGTTAGTGAAAATCATCTAATACGAGTCGCCAATTCTACAGTTCACGTGGACTAATTCGCAGCCTGTTCATTTCCATGTATTGTTTTTTTTGGCCTTTGAGAATGCCGCCAATTTTAGCCGCCAACGGTAACTTCGACTATACCAGTAATTGATCAAGCTACCATGTAACAAAATGCGTTTCAAATAAAATTGATTGTGGAAATTTCATGATTGTTATTATGAATATTTTTTATACCGTGTAATTCAAAGTTCTTGTGAAAGCAGTTGTTTCGGAGGGGTTTTGTCTGTCAATTTGTGTCTGAAAGTGACTTTTATGCTTGATCTATGAATCTTTGTGAAACGTATTCTTCAAACTTGATTGCTTTCTTCGGAAGTTTACCACAATTTAACACATGGACTGAAAAGTCCCGGGTTTCTTTGCTCTGCTCAGAATCATCAAGACGTTCTTGTTTTTGGTCAACTGTGAGCTCGCGCGGCATCCACTTTGAATAGAGCTTTCTCGTATAGTCAAATGCTCATGCAATATAAAGCCAACACGTTTTTTTGATATCTCTACAATGTCGGCTAACTCACTCAACTCAACCTTCCGATTATTCAGAACGATTTTGTGTATTTTTTTATGTTTTCTAGTGTGACTGCGTTCTGCATCATCGGTGTCTCTACGACCACGTTTAATATTGTTGTTTCTGATGAGCGGAGTCCTTGTAACACTTTTGAAGACGTTGCTTCGCTTGAACAGTATTCTTTCCCATCAAAAAGCAGTGTAAAATTAAAACACGAAATTGTTTTTGATCCATTGTTTTTAAAATAACAAAGTAGTGCCACTCTTAGCTCAATAACTCACAAACTTATGAGTAGAATATCATGAAATTTCATCGACTTCCTCTTGAAGGTTAGTACTAACTGAAAAAGCGGTAAATGCAATAAGACTAGCACCATCTATTTGTTAGGTCCGAAACTTTTCATTCNACTGTATTTTTATTGATTCTTTTTTGCCAATAAATAGTGAAAAAAGCATTAGATTGTTTTCTTATACGAGTATATTACTGGCGAGTTCGATTGAAACTTTATCAGGATGCAAGATTGTTGAAAACCATTTTCAGTAAAATCTTCTACAAATATAAAAGTATAGAGGAAAAAAATGAGGAAAGTGTTGATTGAAAAAGTTCTCTAGGAAGAAAATGAATATCGTTAAAAACGAACTCCAGGAAAATACAGGAGACAACTAAAAAATCAAATATTGTCAACCGGCAAGTTTAATTTCGTTTCATTTGTTCCATCTTGAGTTTATTTCATATACGAAAAAGAAGATTCTTCAATTTCAGAGTTCGAAATCTCTACTCTCTTTAAGTGATACATGAACACTTTTTACAAAAGTGAACTCACAGCTCGATTTATCTACTTAAACGGTTTCATTCAGCATGCCCTCTTTGTTTATTCGTTTGAATCAAATTCAGTAATTGAAGTTTGACCCACTTCCTGTTGACAAATTGATCTAGTAGAATACTCTGTTCACTCTGAAACAGATACAAATTCCAAATGGCCGCATCTACAAAATGGCGGATTACATATTTTTCCACAATTATCTCAATATAGGTATCGAATGACAGGGTTTGACTAGTGAAATAGTGGTACACTTTGATAAGATGCAATATCAAGATGGCGGCAGCTACAAAATGGCGGAATACTTTTTTTCACAACTACCTCAATATGGGTATCAAATGACAGGGCTTGACAGTATAAAAGTAGTACACTTTGAAAAGATTACATATTACTTTGTGATACTGAGGCACTGAGTGGACTAAACAGAATGAGAAGAATTGAGTAACACAATTAGAAGCCTAAAACTTGAGAATAAAATAAGTGTTAATATGTTAAAACAAAAGATAATGATGATTTAGATAATGTACTAAAAAATAATACGGAAGGTCCTAGGTAGCAGTCATCGCACCACTCTCCTCAGCAGTTTACGGAATTGATCAGATAAATAAATCATAAAATCGTTGGGTGTAGCGTAACCTGAGTAAATATGTAAATACTACGTAGATTGCACCTAATATGCCGACCTCTTCACAAAAACAGTTAGATCTGTTCAACAGCAGTATAAAAACCAATTTTTCGTTTCGGATATAAGTAAATCATATCATTCGCATGTGAACCGACGTAGAAAATATCCTTCTCGTATAATGAAAGAAAGCAAATAAGACGACATTGGAGATGAATGCATGTGAGTCGGTGACAAAACGCCTGTCAGCCAGATTCACCTTAGGGAAAAGTATACATTTGTTTTACAAAACGTAACACAAACAACTGTCTCACCATTGTTCGTGAACAACACTGCGACGACAATTTACTGAACGATGTTATTTTTGGTGTTTTGAACTTTATTTCTGCGTTTCCGTTTTGTGACATATTGCGGTAAATAAGACAAGTATTTCATTGAATGGGATCAGCTTGGGCCCAGATACCATTCTTCTATGAATGTCAGTTTGAATTTTCATTGCAATTGTTCTTTAATGGCAATAAACAACAAATACAATATATATGAAGACATTCAATTACTTTTTAATGAGTGAATGGAGTGTTTCCGTTATTTATTTATATAGAAACATTCAGGCAGCATCATGAGAGGAGATGAATGTATATCTAACATGATTTGCGAGAGTTATCAAATAAGATTCGATAAAAGCATTCCTGGTATTGCGTTAGTGCATAATTAATCTCAATTTCTAATTTGTATACATTCTGTCAGGAAAGTACCGGGAATTGATCATTTGAAAAACACGTCTGCAGGGATTATCGTATTTTTTTGTAGATGGGTATTCACAACTGTCTTCTATACGCACGCGGACTTTAAGCGCCATCCGTCATTTAGTTTCTCTTATACTCAATTTTTTATGTAAGTGATAATGTTTTTGCAATTTTTACAATAGATCACAATTATCGAACAAAGAATTCGCCTTGAATTTTGTATTGCAAATAGAATTTCGTTTGCCGAAGTACTGGAAATATTGTATAAGATTTGCGGTGATTCGTCTTTATCAAAAACACGTGCGTGTGGGTGAAACAGTGCACTGAAATTTCCACTAAATTTCCATTTCCACTGAAATTTCCACATCTCACAAACCATTTCTAACGATTTTTTAGGCATGGAACGCATTACCACTCGACTAATACCACAAGACCTGAATTTTCCTCAAAAACTCAAACGGGCAAATGTCGCTGAAGACAAGTTAGAACGAGTCAACTTCAACCCCACATTCATAAAACCCATTGTATCTGGTGATGGGGCATGTGAATGCACGTGGTATGAAAACAAGAAGCTTCGGAAAAGCGCCTTCTAACTGTACAAAAACCGAAAAAAGCTCGTCAAAGTCGATCAGGAGTGAAATTGATATTTTTTCGATCCCCTCGCAATTCATGCCGGAAGGCGAGAAAGTGAAAAAATAATATCATCTGAACGTTATGCAGCGTTTGAAAGAGCAAATTCGTCGGAAAATACTAAATTGTGAATGAATTTCTGGCCGAAAACTCAACAAAAAACCTTATCGCACAGCTACCCGTATTCACCTGATATGGATCCGGCCCATTTTGTTTATTTTCCAGAACTCAAGTCACTACTGTACTGAAATCGATTACAAAAAATTAGTGTAAAAACTGTTTTGATGATTGGGTTGTTTGTTGGCGTAAATGAATTATTCCGAAAAAGACCTACTTTGAAGGCTATACAATAAATTTCGGTGAATAATATTTTGCGTTCCATTGACTAACTCCCAGTACTTTCTTCACATAGTAGTATTGGTGATTACCTATGCGGTGTACCTATTATTTACCTGTTTTTTCTTCCGATCATCAAGTAAGATGGTGAACTATAGAATGTTCGGAATGTGAGTTTAATTGCTGTTCATAGATATCATTCCACATGTCACGATTTGGAAACTCTCAAAGGCGTCTATGAACCTGTTGTTATATACCGGCCTCAACATTTAATTAAAATATGTTTCACTTATTCTGTGTCCGTTTTCATAGACTAATTGCACGGCACTAGACTTCTCTTGTTCACAAAACTGAATGTGTGAAACGTGTTTCTTGAAACACGAAATCATAGTACGTTCAGTTTGACCAACATACTTTTTTTCCCAGTTCCCAAAGGTCATTTCGTGAATCACAGACTTTTTTCCATCATCCTGTCTTTTGCCCATGAATTGTTAGAGAGTACGAGCAGTTTTGAAAACTAGTTCCATATTCAATTTTTTAAAAACTCTGACCAATCCATTCGTGTATTTTGGTTCATATGAAAGAATTATGAACTTTTCGACATTTTCTTTTCGAAAAGTCAAAGATTTACAAAAACTCTCTGTGAATTTCAACTTCCTTGATAACTTATCAACTAAATATTATTCAGATAATAACAATATACTTTTAGTTACAGGGTCCACTTATTAATCCGAAATGAAGGTCGAGACTATCTTATCATTTTTGTCTCTGAAACCATCGTCAGATGATCCTGTATACTCACATAAAAAGAGGAAGTACGAAGCGGAATGACATATAAACTTGATGAACGGCTTCCGCATGGTCTGACCGATTACCGAATGCGGGGCGAGAATGTAGGCTATGGAGAAAAACGGAAACAGAATGCCTATTCTCACTATCTCCAGGGCTTGCAGGACCATATTTTTTCGACGGAATCCGGGCAAGCCCTCGTACCATATGGACGCCAACAATTGCTGGACGTTGGAATGTGCAACGAACTGAAAAGAAAAAAACATTAGTATCTACGGCGGATCAATCACAAATTAATAACAATAACTGATACATTTTTCTTCTAGATTTTCACTATGATAGTGTTACAAAAACTGGGACACAATAGCTTTTTTAGGAAAAGGATTGAACTAGTTACCGCCATAGAGGAAACAGCCCGGAAGTTATCTGCTGAAGGATCTGGTGATTGCAGATGAATGTGAAAATATTTTTTCACGATCTCATCATATTAGAAGCAACTCAAATAAGATAATAATATCCAAATACTTCTAGCTAATGAAGGTAATGCCACAGTAATGATTGATTATTTCTATTATAAAAATAATTTATCTCAGTTGATTTCGAGTACAACATATCACTCATATAAGTCAGTTACATTCGACGGTAAAACTCTTTTCATGAATGTACCCGTTGATGAAACTTTTCATATTGTATGACCTAGGTTGGAATATGGCCCAACTTCAAAACATTCAACAAAAAAGGATGTTAGGCCTATATTAGAATCATTTAGATAACTCAAAGACAAAACTTACTTTCAATTTGGAGATGACTTTAATCAACAAAAATTTGGCATGCCTATGTGTTCCTCCGTTATCCCTCATCTTGAGTGACATATGTGGAATAATTTGTAGAAACTTTTATTGAAACTCACCAGAACGGTCCCAAAGTTCAGTGGAGATATGTTCAAGATTTCTTGTTATTTGGAACATAAGTCATAGTGATCTGAATGATTTTTGAAATTAACTGAAAATAACTGACAATAAAATTCACTTAAGAGATTGAACAACTTTTTTCCTTGATGTAATATTGGAGAGGTCATTAAATTATTTTGATACAGATGTTTATCGAAAACAGAAACATACTATTAGATATCTACACTACACATTGAACCATCATGTGGTTATTGGAAAATATATTATGAATTGGCTCTATAACAGAGTTGAAACGTTTGGCAATACAGCTGAAAATAAAATATGTCCTGAAAGGGAACGCTTGTCCAGATCCGATTGTAGTTTCAACAATAAATTTAACAGCCAATTACCGGCAAAAACGACACCTTTCACAACTAACGTTATACTTTATATTCCAGGACTATCGATTTATCTGAAAAGATTAAACAAATTGGAAATATATATGATGTAAGAACTCTTCACACATACAAAATCCAATAACACTCAGAAATGAACAAAAATTCATAAGATAACTTTTTCTTAGGGTAAAAATTACATTGATGAATTTCAAGACAGTTAAACGGTGGCGAGTATGAACATCGAGATTGCAACAGAAATAGACAATTGAAAGGATCAAAATGTTTATGATCTCCACTCTAGAAGACGAATACAAAAATAATTAGCACATATTCTTATCAAGAAAAGAGAATTGAAAACTTTCCATGTTTTTTACCATGTTTTTATATGTTTCAAAAAACATAGAAAGTCTAAATTCCCTTTTCTTCATTATGATTTCCTACCATGTAGTAACGGCTACATCCATCATTACATATTTTTATATTTGGAAAGAATTGTATTTTGAACAGCTTCTGAGAAATGAATCGTCTGGAAAAAGATATATTGGCGATATTACATCCGATTAATACACCTTGTACTAAATTGAATGTTTCCGAAGTCAATCAACAACTTCAACGTATTTCGTATTTCAAAACTCCCTTAACATCTATCGAGGACAAAGGCAGATTTCTGCATTTTGTCATGAATTGAATCAGGATAGTTGAAGCGGTAACACCGCATCAGATTCAGTTGTCAATTATAGTCCATTCGGTATTAACTGAAAGAGTGAAAGACTTTCAAGAATGCAAACATGCCAGTACAAAGAAAGCAACATAGTCATGTCAAGCAAATGGCACTGCAATTCATCCATGAAGTCACTAAGATATACCCCTTGACGACGACGCTAAGGAACTATTAAAATACTGACTTGCGACAAAGAACTTCAAAGAAGGTGGCCAACGCTGTTTATCATATTGCGTTAAATATAGTATTGATAGGCGTCGGGCTGGGGGTATTATTATACATTTTTTAATGATTTATTCTGTATATGCGAAAATAATTTAAATATCGTGAAAAAAAATTGTTTGAATATTTCATTTTGAGAACGTAAGTTTGATAATGAAGATGGATAAAGTCTTCGAAATTTCACCAGATAAAAATCTGTTCCATTTAAAATCTGTTCTTCCGTTAATCAGTTGTCGCCCCCATACGAACAACTCTCAGAAGTTAAGAAACTTGTGCGAGCTAAGAACTAACGAGGTCTAACCTTTCAACGTGTGATTCCTAACATGGTAAAGTATATAAATACAAGTATACAACGTTTCTGCTTCAACTTTGAAGCCATTTTCAAGAAGAAAAAAAGTGTGGCTGTACTGAGAGACACAATTTGGGATTTTGATGTTCTGGTATTGCCAAACCTTCCAAACGATATGACCCTCATTGACACATGTTTCATCTAAATAAAAACTAAATCAACCCACTGTTCTGACTTTTTTGTTTCTCTCAAATAGTTTTTTCCATTCTACAATCTCATTCTACTATTAACATGATCTTCATCTTGTTTTCCGAAAATGAAGTCCAGCTTTTGTAATATCTTCCATAATCAAGTCCTGCTCATATCAGGAAAAAAAACTGTCTTCACGAATAACCTACAAAACTGCATTTAATGTAGGTATTTCGTTATTTATGTGAAAACAGTGTATTATTCTCCTAATAGAATTCTTGACTTCTTCGTTCATAACCAAACACGTTTTCAATTATATTTGATGTTGACAGTTTCGGACACTTCACGGTTCCCAAACAACTATCTTCCATGTTCTATGGTATCTTATTCAACGTGCTTTCTGGAACCTCTGCCTATTGAAATCACTGTCCCAACACCAGAACAAAAATACGGTCTCTCAACGCGCGTTTCGCCAACTAAGTTTGCGAAACTCCTCAGGAAATCATTATCATGATCCCCTGAGGTTCTGGGAAAGTGTTTTCAACAGAGCTTTCGAAGTAAACTGAAGAATTTCACTAAGATCGAGATTAAGACTAAAACTAACCCCTCTACCATGGCCTTTATAAACTGCTAACAGAAAATAATGTGGCATTTTTCCTATGGAAGAAGCCAAGTCGGTCCTATGGATGGGTGCAGTGTGTCTGTTGACGGTATAATTCAAAGGAATATCTATTCATACCGTCTTCAAAAAACAACGTTTTTTAAATCCCCTACAACTAAATACTTATTTGTTAGAGAATGTCTTGGTTACTACTGGACATATTTTCACATTTGTCGTAGTTAATTTGTATTTAGTGAGTTTTTTCAAGAATAAATTTTGTATATTTACTTAATCAATTCATTGAGAGCTAGCATGATGGTCCTCATATATCAATACATTCTTGTTTTCCTATTGTTAACAAGTGGAGTTCATCAAGAAGGTGATTCAATGTGTGTCAATGATGCCCTCATTCGAAACAATCAAGAATACACAACTTTGAATTTACGCAGTGAGTCGTCGTGGTGAACTAGAAAGTGTGTCCTTTCCACGTATTAAGTTCTACATAACGATGTTCATAATTTTTCAGACCAAAAAATGGTCGATAAAAACTAAAAAAGTTGATTTCCTGGCCACAAAATGACTTTCGTTCAATACTTTCTCAGCTATCGTATACCTTCCTCAGTTATTTTATAACGAAAAACGTATCAGGGTTTCCGTAAAACTCATATAGAAAACTTTGCAATGAATTGTATCAGGTATGGAAAATGCCGATTTTCTTTAAATAGCGACCAGATATGTGATAGAATTTACCGATTGTTGCAAACTATCATAGGATCAAAGATTATTAGGAGAAGTAGTTTGGAGAAAAATTGTTGAACACAATGATAATTCACAATTTCCAAAATTAAAAACCCGCGGCGCGTACTTTCTCTATAATTTTTCGTTTCACACTTCGTTTATTGATCGACCTTTTTGAGTACTAACATTCAACTGCGTTGATCTATATTCCAAACCAACAGCGGTGTTGCCGAAAGATAATTTCAATTTTCTCAAATAGGTAAATGCTCGAACATACCTCCGATTCTGAAAAAAACACTTTTTAGAAACTGGAACAGAAGAAGTCGAATAGTCTAACCAAATATCAGTTATTCAAATTAAAAAAAACCTTCAAGAAACTCGTTTGATATTACGGTAAAAAATCAAATGAATGCTATTTCGAAAAACTAAAAAAACACGCTTCAATAGCAACACAAACTGAAAAATGAAAAATAATTCGAAACTAATTACAAATTGTGTTCAACATAGATAATAAGTCCTATGGCTTGATGTAACTCATGACTTTCAGTAAGTCTGAAATCAGAATAAATCTATTTGAAAAAATTAATTTGCTTGTAAAAAAGCGTGGGGTGCTAAATATCCATTGTTACATGGTTAGGAGCTGTTTGCCAGATTGGCACTTTACGATTGTTTGCAACAAAATTAGTTTTTTTTGTAAATGGATTTATTCTGATTTCAGACCTATTGAAAGTAATTAGTCACATCAAGCCATGGGACTTATTGTTGTTGTTGAACACAATCTTAAATTAGTTTCGTTTTTTTTTATTTTGTGTTGTTGTCAAAGCGTGTTTTTGGTTTTAAAACTATTATTTATTATCTGATTATTGATTGATTATTCAATTCCGACGATCGCGATCAGGATAATGTGATAAACTAAGGAAATTATTGTATTGCCACCGATTTTTGAAAAGTGTACAAAATCGAGTACAAAGAAATGGATTACAAAGAAACAAACAAACAAAAATACAATAGAAGCTAATATAAGCATGTTAATAAAAAACGTATGCGTCTCGGGACGCCCGACAGAAGTAATAACTCAAACTAATTTAAGGTGAACTATTCAATATTGAAATTGTTCAACTTGAGAGAACCTTAGGTTCTCTCTTGGTTGAACCTTAGGCGTTCATCCGATGAGAGCGGAGGAGCCTGTCTTCCGCTGACGTATGTCTGAGAAAAAGACAGACTGACGCTGTAAGCGTTAGGTAACGAAGCGGTTTTCCTTCCATGAGGAGGTATCACTCCAAAAATATCTCTTTGCTATCATTTATCGCATGATGGAAATCCATTAATTTCGCAGTCAGAACATCTTTGGCTGGAAGAACGAAGGGATCTTTTTGACAAAAATTCAATTTCGAATTAGCTCATCTACTCTCACCCATCATATGAAAAAGGATGTGATTTGATTAGCCTAGATGAACAAAACCTATTTGAATTTAGCATCTGTACAAGTACAAGTTTTATTGAAACCAACTCTGCAATATGGAGATCTTTTGATGAAACAACGTTTCTCTCAGGAAACATTTTCAAAAATGTTTGAACCCATACTGTTATGCATAGAATATTATACCTCGTGGAAAACGCTTTGATATTACATTTAAAAAAACGCTCTGATAAATCTGATTGAGGATGACAAAAATTAAATTCCGTATTATTATTCAGTACAACTGTATCTTTCTTCCATAAATTTCTACACTCATCACAAAAACAAGGCCATTCTCTCTCTCTCTCTCTCTCTCTCTCTCTCTCTCTAAGTGAGGTAATATGATTCAGGCA